ATCCCTGGCAGCCTGTCAAAGTGAGAAGCAAAGAGGAAAAAAAAAAACCCAAAACAATGGATACGTTTTTATTTCCTTATGTTCTACAAGGCGAGTTGTTGACTTAAAATGACTGACTGCTTGTGCTACTCAAACGCTTCCAAGCCCACCTCCCTCCCTCCTCCCTGCCCCTGCTCTGCACGCGCCGGTACAGGTCTGTTGGCTCCCTCCCAGCCAGGAGGCCAGGCCACCTTCTCTGGGGATGCTCTAAGAGGCATGAGACTTGTGACTCCTGGTCGTACGCAGATTTTGGCAAGCAGCTTGCTGAGCTCCTGACCTCCTCTGATCCGAGCCTACATGTATGTCTTAATTCTTCCACAATGTCACATTTTTCCATTTCTGATGCTATCTAATTGCACAGAAGGAAAGATGGCTCGACCGAAACACCCGTGCAATGCATTGCTCCAGCTTCTGCAACAACCACGGGGAAAAGCAGAGTTCTCTTTACAACAGCTCCCCAGTGCAGAGGGAAATAACCAGAAACATTCGTTCCTCTTTGCAGGGAGGAGGTGGTGACCGGGGGGTAGGGAGGGAAAAGAGTTGAAACAATCTGCCAGCAGCACAAACTTTGTTCACACTCCAATTCTGGCTCAGATGGGAAGCAGCCAGCAGAAAAAAACCAAAACCCTTAAGAAACAAGGAAGCTGTTCTCGTGCTTGTAGCAACTTCTGAAACAGCATCCCCCGCCCCCCAAAACGCTGAGATGAACACAGGAAATAAGAGCACGCTTTTCGACAGGACTTTTGCAAACTATTCTATGCAAAATCTCCAACTCAAACAGCTTGTAAGATCCTGCAGATATCATGCAAGAGGGCTCTATGGGGAAGAACAAATTGGCATAAAAAACGGACACACTGAACAAAAGCCTTTCAAGTCTGAAGTCCCAAACAATGAAAGGTCTGTTTTATTAATCTGCTGTACATTATGAGTGCTGCATACACTGTACGAGGCTTCCAGACCGGTGCCAGAGGAGTTAAAAAAAAAGAAAAAGAAAAAAGAAAAGTCCACCAGGAGCAGGAGCAGGGTGTTTGCAAAGCCTCTGCCCAGCTGGAGCTGACAGGGCTCGGCAGCGGCGAGGAAGCCGGCAGAGGGCTCGCCCGAGCCAGGCTGCGCAATGCCGGGGCAACGCTGCGGGAATTCACAGGCAAGGCGGCGAAGATGCAATAAACTGCATTTCCTTCCTTCCCTGGCGCTATTAGCAGCTCAGGGCACAAGTGTTGCAAAACAGCTGAACCGTGAGGCTCCTTCCTCACAGCACCCTTCCGCACCAGCTCCTCACCCGGCACACGCCACGGGGTCTGCTGGGTGCCCTGGCCAGCGCACGGCCGTGGGGCCAGGGCCAAGCACTGGGACTTCCCCAGGACGGGTCCGGTCTCCTGTCAGTATTCTGACCGTGTCCCTCGCTACTCCCACGTCTGACCACTAAACCTGTTCTAACCACCATGGACCCACTGGAGCGGGGCCAGAGGAGGCCCCGGAGATGCTGGGAGGGCTGGAGCCCCTCTGCTGGGAGGACAGGCTGGGAGAGGTGGGGGGGTTCAGCCTGGGGAAGAGAAGGCCAAAAAGGGGAGACCTCAGAGCCCCTTCCAGTGCCTAAAGGGGCTCCAGGAGAGCTGGGGAGGGAGTTTTGACAAGGGCATGGAGTGATAGGATGAGGAGGAATGGCTTCAAACTGGAAGAGGGGAGATTGAGATGAGATCTGAGGAAGAAATGTTTCCCTGTGCGGGTGGTGATCCCCTGGGGCAGGTTGCCCCGAGAAGCTGTGGCTGCCCCATCCCTGGAGGTGTTCAAGGCCAGGTTGGACGGGGCTTGGAGCAACCTGGGCTGGGGGGAGGTGGCCCTGCCCAGAGCAGGAGGTTGGAACTGAATGACCTTTAAGGTCCCTTCCAACTCTAACCGTTCTGTGATTCTAAAGTGGGGATACTGACCCCTTCCTCAGGGTGACCAGGTGAACTGGGGCACAGCTGAGGCCACAGCTTCCCCCCCCACACTGAAAGACAGGAATGTTTTCCCCTTAAGAATCTTAACTGTTGGAACTCAGAAATCTTCAGAAAAACATTTTAATTATACTTCATTTAAAAAAAAAAAGCTGAAAAAAACCCAAACCCCAAACCCTCAAGACTTCCCTTTTTTCAGAGTGATAGAGACACGTCAAACACACAGACTGTCAGTGCTGCTTCAAGGAAAAAAAATTTACACACCTTAAACAAACAGAGGCTTTGGTTGCAGTGGATTTGGTTTTTTTCTGTTTTTTTAAGTCAATGCCAAGAAATTTGTAAACTAACATGACATTTTCTTACAGTGTATGCAACTAAAGGCTCAACCCCAGTGCTGGAACACAATCCAAATAGGATAAATAGCCTAGGAACCAACAAAATAAAGTCAGTTATTAGGAATGATATTTAATCATGCAAAGGCCTCTCTGTAAATTTTTTTTGAGGTGTGTTTCATGACATTTATGTAGTTTCCAAAGTTTTCTACATTAACAATTGTCAAAAAAGACTGTCAGGCATCATATTTAGAGAGCTAAAAAGGTCACTGTCAAACTGACATTGTTCACCACAATTTGGAAACCAAAGGCCCATCCCGGACCCCCCGCAGCTGCTTTGCAATGCCCCTCTGCAGCCAGAGGAGAGCTGCCGTGGGATGGGATGGGATGGGATGGGATGGGATGGGACGGGATGGGATGGGATGGGATGGGACGGGATGGGATGGGACGGGATGAGATGGGATGGGATGAGATGGGACGGGACAGCTGTGCTGGCCTGGCCAAGGTGCTGCTCACACCGCTGCCCACCCAGCTGCTGCAGAGCTCGAGCCCAGAAAGCCCCGTGGGCTCGCAGTTATTGGAAGCATACTGTTTGGACACTACCAAATGCAAAGCCAATACAAAGTCTGAGATCACTGCACTGAAGGGTTTTAAAATATCCAGAGAGAGTTGAATCAATTAGAATACTTCCTTCCTTCTTACTGGCATTCTCTGGGCTTGAGATTAGCTCATAAAATCAAGAGACAAAATCTCTTCAAATGTCAAGTCTTAATGTAGTCTGTACATTGCTGATACACAAAGGAGAACTCATTTTTCCTAATTTCAGGTGTAGTTTCAAAGTTGAGCTCTATCCTTAAAATCAGCCCCATGGTGACTCATTAACACAGCACACCCGTCCTTGCTAAAACGGAAACGAGTGGTACACTGCACGGAGCACAGACCAGAACGCCAGAAACATTGCGTATCAATACAGGAAGTGATACAGATATCCTACTGTTCATTATTGCTTTGCCAAGGTACCCTCTTTCCCCTTTGTAGAGTTTATTGCAGATGTCATTGAGAAGCGTTGACGTTTAGATATACCACTGTTGACTAAAGTACCCAGGTTCGACATGTAAGAATTAATATTTATATGTCTTAAGTGGGACCAAGTTCTGAACACCAGCAAAACAAGCTCATACATGCAGACTTCGTGTCAACACGGTGCCTTGCAGAGGCACCCACAGCTCAGAGAAGTCAGACAGACGCTTTGATGTGGCTCTCCACAAGAAGTAACTAGCACATCCCCTCAGCAGCGCCAATTAGACCAACAGGACCTTTTTAATTTAGTAATGCTGCTTCCAGGGCTCGAGACAGTTCACCCAAAAGCCCGTACATATACAGCCCTGAATGTTCGGGGCCAGGGTTCATTGAGCAGAAGCAGGACGGGCCAGCAAACAACTTCCTGTAAATTATACAGGTGTCTGCAGTAAGTCTGAAGCAAGACAAGATATTCCGCTCAATGCCATTGTGAATGCTTCTCAATTTCGTAGAATCATAGAATAGTTTTGGTTGGAAGGGACCTTTAAAGGTCATCTAGTCCAACCCCTTGCCATAAGGAGGGACATCTTCCACTAGACCAGGTTGCTCCAAGCCCCGTCCAACCTGGCCTTGAACACCTCCAGGGATGGGGCAGCCACAGCTTCTCGGGGCAACCTGCCCCAGGGGATCACCACCTCCAGAATAAAACATTTCTTCCTTACAGCTAGTCTAAATCTTCCTTCTTTTAGTTTAAAGCCATTACCCCTCATCCTGTGGCTCCTGTCCCTGATCCAGAGTCCCTCCCCAGCTCTCCTGGAGCCCCTTTAGGCACTGGAAGGGGCTCTGAGCTCTCCACGGAACCTTCTCTTCTCCAGGCTGAACCCCCCCAACTCTCCCAGCCTGTCCTCCCAGCAGAGGGGCTCCAGCCCTCCCAGCATCTCCGGGGCCTCCTCTGGCCCCGCTCCAACAGCTCCGTGTCTCTCCTGTGCTAAGGCCCTCGAGCTGGAGGCAGCACTGCAGGGGGGTCTCCCCAGAGCGCAGCAGAGGGGCAGAATCCCTTCCCTCACGCTGCTGGCCACGCTGTTGGGGATGCAGCCCAGGATACAGTTGGCTTTCTGGGCTGCCAGCACATGTTGCCGGCTCATGGCTGGCTTTTCACCCCCCAGTAACCTCATGTCCTCAGCAGGGCTGCTCTCCATCCCTTCATCCCCAGCCTGTATGGATACCAGGGGCTGCCCTGAGCCAGGTGCAAGACCTTGCATTTGGCCTTGTTGAACCTCCTGAGGTTCACATGGGCCCACTTCTCGAGCTTGTCCAGGTCCCTCTGGATGGCATCTCGTGCCTCAGCCATGTCAACCACACCACATAGCTTGGTGTCATCTGCAAACTTGCTGAGGGTGCACTCGATCCCACTGTCCATGTCATTGATGAAAATATTGAACAGTACTGGTCCCAGTACGGACACCTGAGGGACACCAGTTGTCACCGATCTCCATCTGGACATTGAGCTGTTGACCAGCACCCTCTGGATGAGAATATCCAACCAATTCCTCATCCACCCAACAGCCCAACCCATCAAATCCGCATTTCTCCAATTTCCTTCAGCAACTCCAAGCTCAGCAAGCACCACCCCAGCTATTTGCCCGGAAACTAGAGAAAATGATGCACTCACCTGCTTTCATTATCCAGAAACACAGAACTACTGCTTTTCCCAAGGGCTTCACTAATGGGAGAGAGGCAGAATGGGGAAGAGAAGGCATCAGAATCAGAGTCAAAAGTACTGTCCCTGCTCACATCATCAGCAGACAGCTCCAAGGAGCCCTCGTCCTCCCCCGGCTCTGGCCTGCAGTCCAGGCCTTCCTCCACCAACAGCTCCGACCTGTTCTGCTCCTCCTGAGAACTGATTGTCGATAGGATTCCTGAGTCGCTGCGGGCAGGCTGGGGGGACCGGCGGGTGCCGTCTGCCGCCAGGCAGCACTGGGAGAACTTCTCCCCTTCTGAAGAGGGGGAGCTGATGTAAGCCACGTCTTTCACAAGCTGTGACACAGTCAAGATGTCTTCTCCTTTCAGGATCACTGCCCCTCTCTGCTCGGTGGGGGAAGCCTGCTGGACAATGCCAAAGCCCTGAGTGTGGCGGCCACGTTTGCGGGGAGCTTTACGGACCGGGGAGCTCTCAGGAGTGATGTAGCGCAGGGCTTCTTCATCCTGCCTCTGAATGCGGGAGTTTGGCACCCAGGCAAGGATAAGCGTGGTTCCGAGAAGCTCATCTTTCTCCATGTACAAGCACAAATAGCCTTCGAGAGAGCAAAGCAGCAATCAGTTATGACACAGCTTTATTCTTGGGTATGTGTGTAAGCCTGACATTTGCCCTTCCCCACCTCCCCCCACTTCACCACCACTACACATGGGCAAAGCAAACCCTTTTAGTTACCAGGAGAGAATTCTGCTAAATCAGTTGTGGAGTGCTCAACATTATTCAGTATTTACAAATAATTTCAAGTCTGCATATGTCTTTTGAATACTCTAAATTTCCTCTGGCCTAAGTGGACATAGAGATGACATGCAAATACCTCAACTTCCTGGATGGATTACTAATCAAGAGTAAATTCTGAAATATGTTGCCACATGAAAAACCTCTACTATTTGCTAGTTTAACAATTTCAAGTGCTGGCTAAACATTTCTTTCTCAAGAATATTTACCTTAGTGTAGCTAAAGGGCTACAATCTTCATTGAAAGCCAGTAGGAACAAAAATGAGTCAAGCACACAAGAAGGGAAGCGTGGGTCAGTGTTCACAGAATAATTACTTTTATGAAGCCAAGCCAGTAGCCACAGCTCTCTTTGATGAAAACATCAAAGAGCGCAATAACAGATGAGAATAAAGGGACAGAGCAGTATTTATCTTCATTTACTCCAGTGTGTGCAGTCACAATCAGGTTTTCTTTCTTTTCCCTTTACCAACGGTTGTTGAGGCTGCTCTAGCAATGACAGTTACAAGATGATACTTGGCTTCCCTGAACAACACACGTATTTGAAAGAGTGACAGAAGTTACTGTCTTCAAATGATAACTGTCCATCTTCTGGCAATACAAAAGGACTTACTAAAACAGGTAAATCCATGCTAGACCAGAAGAGAAAGGAGAAACATCATCAATTTTCCTACCAAAAGACGAGCTGATGGATCGGCTTGTGGATGGCTTTCCTTAGTCCTCCATAAGACTGCCTTGCCCTGTTCCCCACTGGCACCTCTTCATTCTTTAGAGCCCAAGATGTAGAATTTGATACAAACGCACACCCCAGGAGAGAGAAAAGAGTGAACGAGCAGTGTCTGCAACACCCTATCACCTGGATGATGCTCCCCGATGCCTTGTAGCAGCTCAGGTGGATGGACACAGACATTGTTCTTAGAGTAGATAATCTCCCCATCAAGTATGGAAGCTGAACTGCTGCCACCACCAGGATTCAAGGTCAGGAGGTCAGAAGCTTTTGAAGAGGCACGTCGAAGGAGTCGCCCCAGAGACATCGCCAAGGAAATGTTTCCATTATCTGTCTGCTTTAATCAGGAGCCAAATTCAGAAGATCTGCCAAGAAGGAGGAAAGAATAGCGTTAGAATAAATATAATGACAGCACAGCACGTGCGTATCACTGTCTGAGAAGGAAGAGGTCTCCCATCAATCCTACAACTCAAGCAAAAGCCTCCAAATGCTCTGGATCTGTAACATCACCTCTATGTTTTAAAGATGCTGAAGTATAGAATCCCAGGGTGTTTTTCTCTGCAATGAAGAAATATGAAGGCAGCAAAAAAAACCCCATTTTAATAGTTACTGTGGGGAGGAAACAGAAAAGTAATGCTTGTCACTGAAAATTGCCCATTAAGGGAATAGCTCAGCGATGCAGAGCTGTCCAATGTATCACTGTCCTGGGGATGTCAAAGAGAGTCAGAGCAGACCCTGGAGGATTCCTTCAGTGCAGAAAAACTGCTGAGACCATGACATTAAACAAGGGGCTGCTCCTTCACCCACAGTAACCACTGATTTCCAAAAAAACATTAATCCAAACAAGTTCATCTTGTGTTTACCAATTTTTGGCATAATCCTGCTATGCATTTGAGGGGTTTGGTTTTGTTTTGTTTCGTTTTGTCTTTTGAGCAGTGATGGTTAAATAGAGCTTTTTCAGAGGTAAGTGGCAATAAACCCATGTTCAACAGAGCGGGCAGACTCCAATAGCAGCGTAAGGCATGCCAACTCATGGCAAGCATCTCCTCTATCAATAGGCAACTTTAGCTAAGTGTGGGGTATGATCCCCAACTAATCCCTGAGTAAGTGTTGTACTCAAACGAAACATGCTCCTGATCGGGCCTGTTGATGAGGAGCTCTACAGTGAATCCGGAGGGCTGACACCAGCCATAAACTGTTTAGCAGACAGATCAGGATGAAGGCTTGATGTGTTGAAACAGCCAGTGGGTCTTGCACAAGGCAGTCCCACAGACAGCCCAACACAATTCGATGTAGAGCAGGCTCTACCTGCTGCTACTGCCCCTACCTGGGAAGCAGACCATCAGAGGCAGTTTCTGCTCTGCCAAAAGTACACCTACCTGGGAAGCAGACCATCAGAGGCACGGCAGTTTCTGCTCTGCCAAAAGTACATGAGGAGCGGAAACATCGACTTTTGTTCCTTTGTATGTGCATGGCTTTACTTGCTCATGAACAGGCCAGTCTGACCTAGTACGCGCCATAGACCGTCACGGTGCCAGCTCCAGGGGCCACACGTGGAGAGATCAGCTCAGTGTGTTCCTGGTGACAAGTCCCACACCACGGTCTGCAGAGCACGCAGCCAGGAATAAAAAGAAAAGCAGTCAGGCCCTGACTTGTACTATCAGGGGCACTGCGTGCAGGAAACATTGAAGGGCCTAACACAAGCATCATCAAACATGGCATAGCTGTGATTTCTTGAAACACAGTTTTAATGGTACCTCCAGACAAATGAGGAAGCGAGAAGGCAGAGAGGGCAAACAGAAAGCAGTGCTTCCCAAAGAGCAGAGCGAAAGCTGCAGGGAAGGAAAATAGCTGTCCTGATTCTGACAGATTTGTACATAGAGAAGATTGCAAATGAGACTGCCAAGCAGTTGACAGAGCCTTCACTAAAGGACAAACTATTGGTTTAACTGGCAATCGCTAGATTTGTCAGCTTGAATCACAGCATAAGCAGTTTCTGCATTGCATTGCATTCTTTGCTGGAACTTGACAGAGAAGCCTCAACCCTGCTACACACTGCGCCCGACAAGTGTTTAGGATAAGAGAATTACTTTGCAAGTCCTTCGCATCCATGTCTCCTTCTGGCTCCAAACACAACATGTGTCTTCACGTCTCAGCCCCAAAAACCAAACACCAATGAAGCCATATGCTTGCTCTTGTCCAGATCGCCAAAACACACAGTACTGTTTCAGGCTCTGGGTTGTATCTTGGAGAAAGTCATTTGCCTCAACCACATTTAAAGAGCAAGTCCCGTTTCCTCTCATTGCACCCTGCAAGCACACAGACAGTAAAATCTGCTGCAATTCCTCCTTCCCATCACCAAGTTACATCACACCATTTCAACACAACACTGAGGGAGTCTGAAGCAGTGATGTGGAGCAACCTGTACAGAACCAGAGGCCCTGAGCCTCCGGCATGTCTGAAGAGGGTCATCTGTTCCCACCACCTTTTGTAGGCAGCACGGGCTGCTCAGCTACGCCCCGCTGCTGTCAAGACTGAAACCAGCCTGGCTATCCAGACCTTCAGCTACGTCAGCTATTTCATCAGAACTCTAAAAGCACAAAACCTGCATAGGCAAAGGAGGAAGGTGGTACCAGGTGGCCGCGGCTGTTGACCAGGGAATGCTTCCTCAGAGAACACGAGCAAGCTTTTCCTG